GTTGTTTGGCGGGTCCGGGCTGGGGATTCGAACCCACCACCTTAGGTGTACGTGGCTGGCGCCTTAGCCGGTTGAGCTATAGGCGCCGAGCCTACTTATTATTTTTGAGTAAAGTCCTTTATTTGTCATCTCTGGGGATGGCTCTTGGGTCCCTTAGGATCCACCATTAAACTAACAATAAGAACGTAATAGCCTTAGGCTGGGAGCGGTGGCTCAGGCCTGTAAACCTAGCCCTCTGGGAGGCCAAGGCGGATGGATAGCCTGAGGTCATAAGTTTGAGACCAGCTTGAGCAAAACTCTGAGAGCCTGAGACCCCCATCTCTACTAAAACAGAAAAACTGAGGCAAGAGGATTACTTGCGCCCAAGAGTTGGAGGTTGCAGTGAGCTATGACAGGCATTCTACCTAGGGCAACAGCTTGAGACTCTGTCTCAAAAAAAAAAAAAAAAAGAATGTCACAGCCTTGAGGCCAGGCATGGTGGCTCACATCTGTAATCTTAGCACTCTGGGAGGCTAAGGCCAGTGGATTACCAGAGCTCACAGGTTCAAGACCAGCCAGAGCCAAAATGAGATGAGCCAGACCTCATCTCTAAAAAAATAGCTAGGCATTGTGGTGGGTGCCTATAGTCCTAGCTATTTGGGAGGCTGAGGCAAGAGAATCCCTTAAGCCCAAGAGAGTGAGGTTGCTGTGAGCTATGATACCACACTTTCTACCAAGGGCAACAAAGTGAATCTCTGTCTCCAAAAAAAAATAATAATAAAAAAAAAAGTCACAACCCAGACTGAGCAAGAGCAAGACCCTGCCTCAACCAAAAATAGAAAAATTAGCTGGATGTGGTGGTGTCTGTCTGGGGTCCCAGCTACTTGGGAGGATAAGGCAGGAGGGGAGGATAGCTTGACCTCAGGAGCTTGTGGTTGCTGTGAGCTCTAACAAGGCCACTGTACTCTATCCAGAGTAAGATCCTGTCTCAAAAAAAAAAGAGTCACAGCACTTTAAAGCCTTGTAAAAGTAACCAGTTCTGCACTTGAACAGTCTTTTTTATTTTTTTGCAGTTTTTGGTCGGGGCTGGGTTTGAACCTGCTACCTCTGGTATATGGGGCCCGTGTCCTACTAC